CTATGTGTGTGTGTCTCTCACGAATAAATAAATAAAATATTTTTAAAAATAAAATAAAAATAAAAGCAAAGGACATTCAACGTCTCAAAGTTGAGGAACTGTGCTTAACCAGACATGTGACACTCCTATCCTTCCTCTTCATTATCTTGCTGAATAATAACTAGCATTACAAATCCAATACATTAATGGTACTGAAAAAAATCTAGAAGAATGGGAATAGGAAGAATAGGGGAGTTTCCAAGGCAAGAACAAAAATGTATGGCTCCCCCCACCGAAAAGTATGTCTCCCAACCTCACTAACACTGGCTCCCTCTGACCTCAGTTGTAGAAGAGTCCCAGTCTTTACTCTTCTTTTCTCCACCTACCAACATATTTGGTGTTCTACCACCCAGTGCTCTATTTATCACATCACAGTTCTTTATTTTTTTTAATTTTTATTTATTTATGATAGTCCACACAGAGAGAGAGAGAGAGAGAGAGAGAGAGAGAGAGGCAGAGACACCGGCAGAGGGAGAAGCAGGCTCCATGCACTGGGAGCCCGACGTGGGATTCGATCCCGGATCTCCAGGATCGCACCCTAGGCCAAAGGCAGGCACTAAACCGCTGCGCCACCCAGGGATCCCCAGTTCTTTATTTTTAATTGAGATATAATCCACATAATAGACTATGCAACATTGTAAAGTATACAGTCCAGTGGTATACTTTGATAGACAACAGTCACCCTAATTCCAGGACAGTTTCATCACCCCCCAAAATAAATACCGTACCCATCAGCTGTGACCACCCCCTTCTTCCCTCCTCCAGGCAACAACTAATTCCCCTTCTGTATCCTAGATTTGCCTCTTCTGGACATTTCATACAAATGTGTGTCTAGCTTCTTTCACATAACATGTTAGCTTCAAAGTTTTTCCATATCGTAGCATACATACCAGCACTTCATTCTTTTTGAAGGCTGTATAATATTCCCTTACATAGACACATCACCTTTGTTCATCTGTTCCTCAGTTATTGGACATTGCAGTGGTTTCCACTTTTGACTATTATTAATAATGCTATGAGTATTCACATACATGGTTTTGTGTGGACATATGTTTTTAATTCTCTTGGATACATACCTAGGAGTGGAATTGCTGAGTCACCTAGTAACTCTATGTCTAACCCTTTTGAGGAACTGCCAAACTGTGCTCCACACATAACTATGCCATTTTATGTTCTCACCAATGTATGAAGATTCCAGTTTCCCCATAATCTTGCTACCACTTATCATTCTCCATCTGATTACAGCCATCTTAGGGAGTATAAAGTAGTATCTTATTATAGCTTTGGTTCGTATTTCCCTAATGACTTAAGACACTGAACATCTTTTCATGTGCTTATTGGCCATTTGTGTATTTTCTTTGGAGAAATGTCTCTTTAAATGCTTTGCCCATTTAAAAGTTCAATTATTAGTCTTTTTATTGAGTTGTAAGAGTTCTTTATGTGTTCTGGATATTCTGGATACTAGACTTTTATCAGACATATGATTTGCAAATATTTCTCCCATTCTGTGAGTTGTCTTTTACTTTCTTGATAATGTCCTTTGAAGCACAAAAATCTGTTTAATTTTTTATAAAGTCCAATTTGTCTATTTTAATCCTTTTATTATTTGTGCTTTTGGTGTCATGTCTAAGAAACTCTTGCCTAATCCAAGGTCATAAAGATTTCTAAGAGTTTTTATAGCTTGGGCACTTCCATTTAGGTTAATCCATTTTGAGTTAATTTTTTATATATAGAATGAAGTGTAGGAATCCTTATTTTGTATATGAATATATAGTTGTCCCAGCTCCATTCGAAAAGACTAGCCTTCCCACATTGAATTGCTTTGGCACTCTTGTTGAAAATCAGTAAACTATAAATGTGAGGATTTATTCCTGGACTGTCAGTTCTGTTCCATTGGTTTATATGTCTATCCTTTTTGTTTTTGATCTTCACACTCAGTTTATTCACTTTTAATTTACAGAACATCAGAGATTTACATTTCTTTCCAGTGTTAGCATTTTTATTTTTATTTTTTTAAATAATAAATTTATTTTTATTGGTGTTCAATTTGCCAGCATACAGAATAACACCCAGTGCTCATCCCGTCAAGTGCCCCACTCAGTGCCCATCACCCATTCACCTCCACCCCCCGCCCTCTTCGCCTTCCACCAACCCTAGTTTGTTTCCCAGAGTTAGGAGTCTTCATGTTCTGTCTCCCTTTCTGATATTTCCTACCCATTCTTCTCCCTTCCCTTCTATTCCCTTTCACTATTATTTATATTCCCCAAATGAATGAGACCATATAATGTTTGTCCTTCTCCGATTGTATATGTCTATCCTTATGCCAGTGCCACACTACGATTACTGTAGCTTTGAATTGGGTTTTGAAAGCAGAGCATGTGAATCTTCCCTCTTTTTTGTTCTTTATCTAGATTTTTTTTTTTTTGGCTATTCTGGGTCCCTTGAATTGATATAAGAATTTTAGAATTAGCCTGGAAAGAAGTCAGCTGTGATCTTGATAAGGGTTGTGCTGAAGCCATAGTTCAATCTGGGGCATACTGCCATTTTAACAATATTTTCTTCTGGTCCATGACCATGGCATTTTTTCCATTTATTTCAATCTTCTTTAATTTCAACAATGTTTTGTAGTTTTCAGTGTATGGGTCTTATACTTTTTGGTTAAATTTTTTCCTAAGTATTTTATTCTTTTTAATTTTGTTATACATGGAATTTTTTTTCTTAAAATCATTTTGGATTCCTCATTGCTAATACATAGAAATACAGCTAACTTTTATATATTGATCTTGTATCCTGCAACCTTGCTTAACCCATTTCTTAGTGCTAAGGTTTTTTTCTACATTCCTAGGAATATGTCTTGTGGTCTTCTAGTTTCCCAGGAATATGTTGGAGCATTTCAAACTCTCTGTGGATATCTCATTTCTCAGCCTTTTCTTTTAAACTTTTAGATTAGGGTTTTTGTTTTTCTTGTCCCAACTGTTATCCATTGCCTTACACAGCTGCCAGTTTAAAACATTTACCTGTAATTGTTTTTAAAAATGCTCCTTGGGATATCTGGGTGACTCAGCGGTTGGGTGTCTGCCTTCCTCTCTAAGCGTGATCCTGGAGTTCTGGGATCCAGTCTCACATCCAGCTCCGCATATGGAGCCCACTTCTCCCTCTGCCTATGTCTCTGTCTCTCTGTCTCCCTTTGCCTGTGTCTCTGCCTCTGTGTGTGTGTGTCATATATATATATATATATATATTTTAAATGCCCGTTGAGAAGAAGAGGCTTCTAGCATTGTGCAGTTTTCAATGAGGTCAAGGACAAGGTTCTCAATTGAAGTTTTCCAGGAAACTCAGTAGACAGGTAAAACATGACAGTTCTTTGGGAAGGAGGCTTTAAGGAACTCCAGCTCCATTTTGCTCCCCTGGGATGTGGGCTATTTTTCAAGGCTACCATCAGGATACAGAGCAGAGGTCTAGAACAAGTTAAAACAACAGATCTCACTGTTCTTATAGAATTAATACATTTTCCCTTAATTAATGCTCTCTGGGTTGCTGTAGGCCCATTGGTTAAATTTTCCAAAATGATGAAAACATTGATTCTATGTTTGCCAGTTTTTGTCATTGTCGTTGCTTTTATGGAGGGATGAATTTTCAAATGTCCTCACTTTCCCATTTTCACTGATTCACCTATAACATGGTTTAAAATACCTAAAGTCTCAATGACCATCAGCTAATTAAATACTTCATCATGGGAGTCGATTAGAGAAAAGGAATAAAAATAGAAAATGTAATTCTCAGAGGAGCTCTCCCAGATGGAGAGATGAAGTTCAACATGAATACAGTTTCTATATTTAGTGCTCTCAAAGTTTATGGTAACCGCTGTTTTATAAATCCCCTTTTCTTCATGTGAGTTAAACACAGGCTTTGGAGTCAGAACTCAGTTCAAATTCCAGCTCTGCTTCTGACTGGCTTGACAACCTCGGACAAATTATGTAACCTCTCTGTACCTCGTTTTCCTCATTTGTAAAATGAGGTGATGATAGTATCTATCACATAAGGTTATTATAAGGATTAAATGTGAAATGCTGATCACAGATGCCTTACAGCCCAATAATAGTATTGGTTATGAAGATTATCTTTCTAAAACTTGGTAAAAGTATAGTTAATGATTCTTGAGTAGAGTCAACCTCAAGGCAGATTGTCTTTTCTTTTCTTCCTATTTCTTTTACCTTTTTTGTTTTAAAGAGTTGGGAAGAAGGTCTGTTAAGCATTTTGGAATAAAAGCTTGTGTCAAAAAATGACAAGATGTCCTTTATTCAACAAACAAATAGTCAATAACAAGCACTATACTATGTCAGGCACAGGGACAACATGACAATCAAGTATGGTCCCTGCCCTCCAGGAGCCGAGAATCCAGGAGACTGATAAGGAAACGGGTGATACATGCCATGACAAAGGCTGTAATGCAAGAATACACACAGGCTATGTGGTGGGAATATAGCTTTCATCGGCTGCTCATAGATTTAGCCCTTCTTGTTTGGCTCCAAAACTGAAGAATTGGTTATCCTTTTTGTCTTTAACTGGGTGGTTTAAACTGTAGGATTTTTAAACTTTCTAGAGATAAAAGAAAAGCACTTTGAATTATGGAGGACACTAGAAATAGTATTTCCTACAGAAATTACTTCCTACTGGTATAGTCACTTCTGAGGTTTTCAACCTGAAATGTTCTTTGGCATATTTTTTCTTTGCCATCCACTTAAAAAATTTTTTTTCTCTCTTTCTCTTCCCACTTTATCATTCAGAGACCTGGGTAGTGTCCAAAGGAAGAATGTTTTACAGATTCTAAGGGTGATTTATAGGCAAAGGCAGAAAATGATTGCTTTTAAACTTCAAGTTCCATACCAAAAAAAATGAACATAAATTTTCATGGTAGTTACTTAAAATGCAGATAATTTTAATTCCATTGCATTTTTCAGAATTCTCAGTCGTAACCCTCTGACAACTGTTGAAGATTCATATCTTTTTAAATTGCCAGCATTAAAATATTTGTAAGTATTACAACAATCTCATGGCTCATGAGATGATTTCTGCTCTTTTTTTTACTTTTGTCAAAGATTAAATCTTTTGCATTTTGAATAAAAAGTCATAATTTAAATTTTAGCTGGGTTATTGCAGTAAGAATTATTGGCAAAGAAAGAATGTATATGGAGAAGACAGCCTGTAGTAGAAGAGAGCAGTATTGAAGAACACATAGAGATATGGAACATGCAGGTGTATATGGAAATATTTACCACATATGTAGAAATATCATTTATCTCAAAAAGCAAACTGGAATAAGGTATACCTTATTTAAAACAAAAGACTAATGAAGAAAGGTGGATGCAACTGAGAATGAGTAGAAAAAGGGTAAAAAGAGATTGTACTGTTTAGCACCAAGGTGATTATGTTCGTGATGCACATAAATTTTAATTTCTTCAATAAGAATGCTCTGAAATTATCTTCCATAGCAAGTAAACTCTTGAGCTAGCTTGACAGAGAAGCCAGAATTTAAATAATCACATACTATTAAGTACCTTTTTGTACTTGGTGTGGAATTTTAGTCTTCGGTATCATGCATGTTTGGGCGTTCTCTTTCAGAGACATGGGAACAACACAGGTGTCACTTTCAACAATTGAGAGCATTCTCATGATGTCCCTAGAATTGGAAAAACTGTAAGTTGATTTTTCTTATGTTTATTATCACTTCGTTGTGTATTTAGGTTTGTTTTATTTTTAAGTCAGATTTATTGAGGCATAATTTTCAGTTAATATGTACTGTTTTTAAGTATGCAGTTTTTAATCAGCTTTGGCAAATATATAGTTGTGTAACCACCACCACGTTTGAGATACAGAACATTTCTGTTTGTAGTTAATCCCCTGTTCCCACTATCAGCCCCTGACAGGCATCAACCTGATTTTTGTCCCTATAGTATTTTTTCCACCATGTCTTTTTTTTTTAAGATTTTATTTATTTATTCATGAGAGACAAAGAGAGAGAGAGTGAGAGGTCAGAGGGAGAAACAGGCTCCATACAAGGATTCTGAGGTGGGACTTGATCGCGGGACTCCGGGATCACTCCCTGAGTCAAAGGCAGACGCTCAACTGCTGAGCCACCCAGGCGCCCCATCCACCGTGTCTTATGAATGAAATCATACAGTATGCAGGTCTTGTGTGACTGGCTCCTTTGACTCAGCATAATCCTTTTGAGATTCATCCATGTGATTGCATCAACCCGTAATTCACTCCTTTTTATTACTGAGTAGTGTTACAGTTGTGTGGATATATCAGTTTGTTTATGCATTCATCACTTAATGGACATTTGAGTTGTTCTGATTTTCCTCTTGGCTATGATGAATAAAGCTGCTAAAAGCAGTCATGTGCAGGCCTTTGTGTGAGCATATGCTTTCATTCTGGGGGAGGTGAAATACTTAATGGTAGGATTACTACATCATGTGCTAAGTGTATATTTAACTTTTTAAGAAACTGCTTCCTACGGGTGCATGGGGGGGGGTGTTAGTCAGTTAAGTGTCCAATTGTTGATTGCTGATTTTGGCTTAGGTCATAATCTCAGGGTTGTGAGATCAAGCCCCCAGTGGGGCTCCATGCTGAACGTGGAGCATGCTTAAGATTCTTTCTCTCCCTTTCTCTCTGCCCCTCCTCCCCACCCCACTCATACACATGTGCTTGCTCTCTCTCTCTCTCTCTCAAAAAAAAACAAAACAAAAACAAAAACAAAAACAAAACACCTGCTTACCTCTTTTCTAAAGTGGATATAGGGCAGCCCAGGTGGCTCAGCAGTTTAGCGCCACCTTTGGCCCAGGGTGTGATCCTGGAGACCCAGGATCCAGTCCCATGTCGGACTCCCTGCATGGAGCCTGCTTCTCCCTCTACCTGTGTCTCTGCCTCTCTCTCCCTCTCTCAGTGTCTCTCATAATAAATGAATAAAATCTTTAAAAAAATAAAGTGGACATACCATTTTGCATTCCAACCAGCAGTGTATGACATCTTTACTTTATATTTCAGTTAAAAAAATTTTAGACTTTGTACCTTTAATTTGCATTTCTCTAATAGCTCATGATGTTGAGTGTCTATTCGTGTACCAATATCTTTTTAAATAATGTGTCTATTCAAATCTCTTTTCCTTTTATTTTTTTCTTAAAGATTTATTTATCTCAGACACACACACACACAGAGAGAGAGAGAGACCAAATGTGGTGGGGGGTGGGGGGTAAAGGCAGTCAGAGAGGGAGAGAGGGAATCTCGGATTCCTCACCAAGCTTGGAGCCTGATTTGGGGCTCAATCCCACAACCCTGAGACCATAACCTGAGCCAAAATCAAGAGTCAGACATGCAGCCAACTGAGCCACCCTGGTGCCTCCAAATCCATCGTTCAGTTGGATACATACTATTGAGTTTTAAGAGTATATTACATATTCTGGAAAAAGTCTTTTCTCTCAGGTGTTTAGCAAATTTCTCCCAGGCTGTGGCTTGTCTTCATTCTGTTCTATCTCTGAAGACCAGAATTTTTAATTTTTAATTTTTAAATTTTGATGAACTCACCTATTTCACCCATCACTCCACCCCTTGTCCCCTCTGGGGACAACTATAGTTTGTTCCCTATAATAAATGTCTGTTTCTTGACTCTCTCTCTCTCTCCTTTGCTCATTTTTTTTGTTTGTTTCTTAAATTCCACATATAAGTGAAATCACCTGGTATTTGTCTTTCACTGGCTGACTTTCTTTGCTTAGCATTATACTCTAATGTTGTTGCAGGTGGCAGGATTTCATTCTTTCTTATGGCTGAATAATATCCCATTGTTTATATATACCACATATTTTTTATCCATCCATCTATCAATAGACTGGTAGGTTGTTTTCCATAACTTGGCTATTGTAAGTAATGCTACATAGAGGTGCATGTATCCCTTTGAATTAGTGTTTTTGTATTTTTTGGTTAAATACCCAGAAGTGCAATTACTGGATCATAGGGTAGTTTTATTTTTAATTTTTTGAGGAACCTCCATACCATTTTCCTCAGTGGCTGTACCAGTTTGCATTCCCGCCAGCAGTGCATAACTTCTTATGTCTCCATATCCTCACTAAAATTTGTTGTTTCTTGTGTTTTTTATTTAAGCCATTCTGACAGGTGTGAAGTGATATCTCATTATGGTTTTTATTTGCATTTCCCTGATGATACTGAGCATTTTTTCATGTGTCTGTTGGCCATATGCATGTTTTCTTTTTTTTTAAGATTTTATTTATTTATTTGAGAGAGAGAGAAAGAACATGAGCAGGAGGAGGGGCAGAGGAAGAGGGAGAGAGAGAGAATCCCAAGCAGATTCCCCTCTGAGTACCTAGCCTTACCCAGGGCTCGATCCCAGGACCCTGAGATCATGACCTAAGCTGAAGGCAGACATTTAACCAACTGAGCCACTCAGGCACCCCTGTGCATCTTCTTTGGAGAAATGTCTGTCTTCCAATCAGTTTTTAAGTGGATTATTTGGGGGGTTTTGGTGTTGATCTGTAGACATTCTTTATATATTTTGGATACTAAACGTATATTGAATATGTCACTTGCAAATATCTTCTCCTATTTGATAGGTAGTCTTTATTTTTTTGTTGTTGTTTCCTTTACTATACAGAAACTTCATATATTGTTTGATATGGTGAAACATTGTTTAGAATTTTGCATCTGTGTTCATGAGAGATATTGGTCTATTGTTTTCTTTTCTTGAACTGTCTTTGCCTACTTATGATAAGGGAAAAGCTGGCCTTAAAAATGAGTTGGGGGATCCCTGGGTGGCACAGTGGTTTGGCGCCTGTCTTTGGCCCGGGGCGCGATCCTGGAGACCCGGGATCGAATCCCACGTCAGGCTCCTGGTGCATGGAGCCTGCTTCTCCCCCTGACTGTGTCTCTGCCTCTCTCTCTCTCTCTCTCTCTGTGACTGACATAAAAAAAAAATGAGTTGGGAAATATTCTTTTCTCTTCAACTTTCTGATAGAGTTTGTGTAGAATTGGCATTATTTCTTCCTTAAACGTTTGGTAGAATCACTCATGAAGCCCTGTGGATTTGAAGCTTTCTTTGTGAGAAAGTTGTATATTACACACTCTATTTCTTTAATAGTGATATTTAAGTTACATATTTATTTTTGAGTAGTTTACATCTTTTATGATCTGTTCATTTCACCTTGAATTGATTGACAAATTATTTTATAATATTCCCTTCTTATCCTTTTAATATCTGTAGGGATGCCTGGGTGGCTCAGTGGTTGAGCATCTCCCTTTGGCTCAGCTCATGACCCCGGGATTCTGGGATTGAATCCCACATGAGGCTCCCTGCAGGGAGCCTGCTTCTCCCTCTGCCTCTGCCTCTGTCTCTCTCTGTGTCTCTCATGAATAAATAAAAATAAATTCTTTAAAAAAAAAAAGAAAAGAAACAAGGGACATGTCACCCCCTGTTTCTTTCTTTTTTTAAAGATTTTATTTATTCATGAGAGACACAAACAGAGAGAGAGAGGGGGGAGACAGAGGCAGAGACACAGGCAGAGGCAGAAGCAGTCTCCATGCTGGGAGCCTGATGTGGGACTTGATCCCGGGACTCCAGGATCAGGCTTTGGGCCGATGGCAGGCACTAAACCACTGAGCCACCCAGGGATCCCTGACCCCTCTCATTTCTGATACTGATAATTTATGTCTTCTCTTGTCTTGTCTTGTCTTGTCTTGTCTTGTCTTGTCTTGTCTTGTCTTGTCTTAATCAGTCTGCCTAGAGGTTTATCAGTTTTACTTATCTTCTCCAAAAACCGTCTTTTGCGGCACCTGTGTGGCTCAGTGGTTGAGCATCTGCCTTTGGCTCAGGTCATGATCCTGGGGTCCTAGAATCGAGTCCCTCATCAAGCTCCCCACAGGGAGCCTGCCTCTCCCTCTTCCCATGTCTCTGCCCCTTTCTCTGTGTCTCTCATGAATAAATAAATACAGTCTTTAAAAATAAATAAATAAAAACTGTCTTTTCATTTCACTGGCCTCTCTATTTTTGTTTTCCGTTTTCTTTATTTGTGCCTTGATCTCTATTATGCTATTTCTTCTCCTTATTCAATGATTAATTTTCTTTTCTTTTTTTAGTTTCTTAAAAGTGGATACTGGGGAAGCTGAACACCGCATTAGCAACATCCCATATGTTGGCATGGTTTCAGTTTTAGTACGAAATAGTTCTTAATTTCCCTTTTGATTTCTTTGACTGGCAGGGTTACTTAGAAGTATGTTGTTTAGTTTCTAAATAATTTGGAGATTTTTCAAATCTGTTAATTTCTAATTTAATTCCATTGTAGTCACAGAACATATGTTGAGTGACTGAAATCCTTTTAAATTTATTGAGGCTTGTTTTATACCCATGAATTCTGGTATTAGATGAGCCTATGATCTATTTTGGTAACTATTATGTATCTACTTGAAAAAAATGAGTACTCTGATTTTGGGTGGAGCATTCTATAATGTCAGTTAGGTCAAGTATGTAGATAGTGTTATTCAAGTCTGCTATATCTTTACTGATTTTCTATATATTTTTCTGTCAATTATTTAGAAAGCGATATTGAAATCTCCCACTATAATTGTGTATTTATTTGTCTCTCTTTGCCATTCTCCTTCATATATTTTGAAGTTCTGTTATCAGATGCATAAATTTTTAGGTTATGTCTTTTTTATTAGTTGATATTCCTATAATGATGGAATAACCTCCTTTATCCTTGGTAATATTTTTTTTACTTTGAAATGGACTTTATCTTACAGTAATGTAGCCACCCAAGGTTTCTTTTGATTACTGTTAGCATAGCACAATTTTTTCTATACTTTTAACCTACTTGTATCTTTCTATTGAAGATGATTCTTATAGACAGCATATAGTTGGCTTTTGCTTTTTTATATTTTAATTAGGGTGATTATACCATTGCACCTAATGTAATTATTAACATGACTACATTTAAAGCTACTCAACTCTCTATGTGTCCCATCTGTTCTTTGTTTTGCTCTTTTTTTCTTTTTCTTCCTACTTTTGGATGACTGAGTACACTTTTAAATTAAATAATTAAATTTTATTTGTTAGCTAGTTAATTACAACTCAGGTTTTGTTAGTTTAGTAGTAGTTTAATGGTTTGTAGTGTTCATCTTTAACTTTTCACAGTCTATCTTCAAATAATATATGATTTCATGATTGGTATAAGAACCTTACAATATATAGTGTACTTCATTTCTCCCTTACTGGCCTTTGTGCTAATGTCTTCATACATTTTCCTTTTACTTCTAAACAGCACACTATATTATTTTTTTGTTTAAACAATAAGTTAACTCCTTTAGGAAGTATAGTTGATGTAATATTAAATTAGTTTCAGATGTACAACATAGTGATTGAACAATTAATACCACAATAAGTGTATTATGGTATTATTAACTATATTCCCTACATTGTACTTTTCATCTGGAGACTTACTTTATAACTAGAAGTTTGTACTTCTTATGTCTTTTCACTCATTTTGACCATATTCACTCATTTTGACCATACCCCCGCCCTCTACTTTAACAGCCACCAGTTTGTTCTCCATATTCATGAATCTGTTTCTCTCTTCTTTTTGTTGTCATTTTTCATTTGTTTAAGATTCTACATATAAGTGAAATCATATTGTATTTGGATATTTAAATAGTAAGAAAAACCTTATGTATTTACCTTTGGAGTTACCAGTTCTAATGTTCTTCTTTCTTTTGTGTGGATCCACATTTCTATCTGCTATCATTTTCCTTCTGCTTGAAAATACTTTCTTTAGCTTTTCTACAGTGTAAATCTACTAATGATGAGTTCTTTCAGCTTTTGTATGTCTCAGTCTTTTGTTTTGCTTTTATTTTTGAAAGATCTGGATATAGTATTCTAGTTTGATAGTTGTTGGTCCCCTCTCCTCTTCACTGCTTTAAAGATGTTGCTTTACTGAGTTACATTAATTCCAACAAGAAATATGTTATCATTGTTATCTCTATTTCCCTATATGTTGTGTGGAGGTTTTTCCTTTGGCTTATTTTTAACATTTTCTCTTTACTGATGGCTTGAGAAGTTCGATTATGATGTGCTTTGGCATAGTTTTGTCCATATTTCTTGTGCTTAGAGTTCATTGATCTTCTTGGATTTGTGGGTTTATTAGGGTTACCTGTTTGGACAATTTGGGGGCTATTATTTTTCAAATTATATTTCTTCTCCCTTGTAGACTCTACATATGCATATGTTAGGCCACTTGAAGTTGTTGTATAACTCACTAAGTAGAGACATGGGTTTCTTAGTCTGGGATTGTTTTGTTTGTTTGTTTTTAGATTTTATTTATTAGAGAGAGAGAGAGCACAAGCAGGGGGAGCAGAGGAGAGGGAGAAGTAGGCTCTCTGCTGAGGAGGGAAACTGATGTGGAGCTCGATCTTGGGACCCTGGGATCGTGACCTGAGCCGAAGGCAGACATTTAACTGATTGAGCCACCCTGGTGCCTCATCAGTCTGGTTTTCTTTAACATATGAAATATTGTTATAACTTTTTTTATAAAGATTTTGTAATTTATTTAAGAGAGAGAAAGAAGAGAGCACACGTGGGTGGGGCAGAGGGAGAGAGAATCTCAAGCAGACTTACAGTGATCTAGGAGCCCAGTGAGGGGCTTGATCTTGTGAGCCTGAGATCATAACCTGAGTTGAAACCAAGAGTCAGATGCTTAACCAACAGTGGCACCCAGGCAGCCCAGTTATAGTAACTTTTTAAACATCCTTGTCTGCTAGTTGTAACACCTGTGTAGATTATGGGTTAGTTTTGATTGATTGCTTTCTATCCTTGATATGGGCCATATTTTAGACTTACTCAGACTCTTCTCAGAAGTCTACCCTCTTCCTGTATGCTCTTAACCCAAAGTGAGACTTTTGGGTCAGAAGGAGATACTTCTGAACTAAACTACTGATCAATGTCACCCAGTTTTTATCTCTGTCTGATTCTAGGCATATCATAACCCCTACCATCCTTACCTATTGGTTGAGCACCTCTGTCCTTCTCTTTATTTACAATATTCATGAGCAACAATTGGCCAACTGGTCCCTACCCAACCCTACCCAACCATCATATGCCTCAAGAATTCCTTTTTGCATAGCCCTGTGAAGACCTTGGCCTGAATCTTCTACTCAAGTAACCCCTTTACCACTAATATAATTCTCTGTGTTTCCATTTATAGGATATTACCTAGCCGTATGTCCTGTTGTCTCTGCCAATTCAAAAATAATATTGAGGTTGTTTGCAAGACAGTCAAGCTGCATTGTGACGGTGAATGTTTGACAAATGCCACACGTTGTGGTGAGTTTGAATTGCCTCATGATATATATATATATATATATATATATATATATATATATATATAATTTATATTTAAAGATTTTATTTATGAGAGAGAGAGAGAGAGAGAGAGAGAGAGGCAGAGGGAGAAGCAGGTTCCATACAGGGAGCCTGATGTGGGACTTGATCCCAGGACTCCAGGATCACGCCCTAGCCTGAAGGCAGGTGCTAAACCGCTGAGCCAACCAGGAATCACCTCATGATATATTTTAAATTTTTAAATTTTATTTATGTTTTAATTTTTATTTTTAATCAACAATGATAAATTTTTAACTAATGATGTCACTGCATTATTTTTATTCACTCAGAATTAACACCCCTAAATTTCTTTTTTTTCCCAAAGATTTGAGAAGAGAGATGTGAGTCGAAGGAGGGGCAGAGGGAGAGAATGTCAAACAGATTCCCCACTGACTGTGTAGCCCAATGCAGGGCTCTATCCCATGACCTTGAAATCATGACCTGAGCTGAAACCAAGAGTTGTATGCTTAACCCACTGAGCCACTCAGGCACCCTTCAAATCCCTAAATTTATAAGAACTATTGCTTTGTTATAAGTCAGATTCTCAGTTACATTATTAAATTAATTACTCCCAAATGAAAACATATGCATCATAATTTGTAAACTGATTTCATATGTATCAGATCTCAGGTCCCCATTGTCTTATATGACAGGTGGAGATATATTTTTGTTTATTCTGTTTGTTTTTACAAGTTATTAAGAGTAAAAGTGATGCTGATTTATAGATAAAGTTTATTCAGAGCATGAGAGGTTCTGTTCCCTAACCAGAAGCTGCTGCCTTCTTATGGATAGAGAGCACTCTTCTATTCTTGGACTGTCCAACTCGGAACTTGTTCTGAATCCTCAGCTTTTCTACCCAAAAACACTCAGACACTTTTAAGTATTTTTCTGTATACTATGTTTTATTGGCACTAACTTCATGACTTCCAAAATGTGCTTCTGCACCCAGATAGCTTGAATACGGTTCCCTATCAATGACCTAGGGTACATTATAAATAACACTTTGCTACCTCTGTAAATACAATGTTGCTTATTTTTCAAAACAATTTTTTACTAATTACTCCCTTATCTCTTAGAGGTGGGCAGAATAGGCATGTTTAACCTCCTTTCACAGGTGAGGAAAAATGAGATCACAGGTGAGGAAAAAAAAAAACAGAGTTAAGTACTGTTGCCTAGCACTCAAGTGTCCCGTTTAGGCCTCTCTACAAGCCCGTTGCTCTTCCTTTCTTGTGACCTTTATTACCTCTTCCTCTGACTCTCATCAACACCGCTGAAAATACTTCTAATTCTTCTGGAAATGAAACTCGGTTGGATAATACTGTGCATGTACACAAGGCATTGCTGACTTTCATGTAGTGGGAAGCTCTGGACGGTACCCTAATAAATAAAGCTAGAAATATTAGAAATGAAAGTGAAGTATATTTCTTCACATTCTGACAAAAAATTTCTTTATCCCTTCTGCATTTTAAAACCTCAAGTATTATTCCATTGATTTATCAAACATTCCACATTGGCATATCTCTCATACCTGGAAAATCTCTTAGCCTACACTCGTTCCCTGCCCAATTTAAGCAAAGAGCCAGGGTGGACTTAGTGCTTTTTTTCTGTCTGGAGCTTATGTTTTGTGTGAGCTGCAATATATGGGAGCAGGGGCCAAGCATAGTAATTGATGGGTAGATGGAGAGGGCATGTCCAGATGAGGCCCTACTAGCAGTGGGTGTTTTCATGGGCATCTGTGATAGTAGCAAGAAAACAAGCACACTGAAGAGACAGAAGGAGGAAACCCCCTGCTCCCACTGCATCTGAAGCAGTACAGGACAGGGTATATGAATACCAGGAGTCACAGTAGATTTGCAGACAGTTTAGCTCAGTGTCTTCCAGACTTGGCTTTTCTTAAGTACTAGATAATTGGCCCTTGGAGACCAAGGATTATGGAATAATCCTAAATGTAGTTATTCACGTTGTGGAAGGTTCTGAAGAAAGAGCCATTTAAAAAACTACCCTTTTCTCCTTTTGTTGTTGCCAATATAGGTTCAAGTTTGAGTTTGTGTCCTTGATAATGGTACTCAGATATTTGGTGGTTCTTAATTTTTATGACTGGGATGTATGACTGCAGACTGACAAAAAGCTGTGCTATCAGCCTTTCATTATCAAAACTAGTTTCTTCTTTTTCTGACAGATGAAAAAGTATCTATAATGAATGTAGAAGGATCATTCATGAAGGTATTAAAAGCCCGGAAGAAGAGTACCAGTACTGAGTTGACAATTGAGCCAGAGAAGGCATCCTCAGACAAAAATGGCATCGGTCTGTCAGCTTTTATGAATGAGCAGCTAGACTTTAATGATGAAAGTGATGTTATTAGTGCGCTGAATTACATATTACCTTATTTCTCAGAGGGAAATGTAGAAGATGTAGAATCAACATTACTACCATTCATTAAAACTCTGTTTTCAAATGTTCAAGATGGAGACAAGCCTGTGGGTTACTTGGCAAACAACACAAAGAGCCCTTCTCTTGAACCTGAACCCAACAATTCAACTTACAAAAATAAACTGAGGAAACTCTCTTTCCTGGAAAATTTGTTAGATGCAGAAATTCAAGAAAAAATTGATGAGGTAAAAAAGAAAGAAAAAACTGCCATGCTTATACCTCCCGGGCTTTTAGGTCCCAAATTTAAACGCCAAATCTTTCCAAAGAAATTGGAAACTGCCCAAGGACAGGAAAAGAGCCTTCCCAAGGCTAAGAATGTACGGAAGAGGCGGTTTAGAAAAAACAGGGTTCTCAAGGGCCCCAAGGACCTACAGAAAAGGCACTACAAGGAAGTGGATGTTCAGAGCACCCAAGAGAAACAGAGTGCCCAGTCATTTGTGAAGAACATGGCCAAAGAAAGAAGGCTCAGTAGACCATCCCCAAGGGAGCTGGAGGAGCTTCGCATGGCCCAGAGGCCCAGGAAATTAGTGGGAAACTCCGTCCACACAGAGCCTTCATTCATAAAGGAGCACGAGGCAGCAGCCTCTTCTTTCCCGAAGCAATACATAATGGGCAGGCCTTCTGCCTCCACTGCTCCAAAATCCATACCTAAGGTGAGAAACAAATCAAAAGACTTAACCTACCCCATTGTTGTTTTAGAAGATGCGAATGCTAGAGTCAGGGAAATGGAGGCTTCCAGACCAGTCTCACATTCTGGGAAAAAGTATATTTTCCATAAAATTCGCTCACGTATAGTCCAAAGAACACCCAAGACCAAACAAAGTAAAAAGTTCAGAAAGAAAAACTCACTCTCGAATATACTGATGCCTGCACAGAGGCCTCCATTGCCTGCAGTCAGGAGCCTCATAGATTCCCCTTCACGGGAGGCTATTTCATCTTCAGAAAAACGGACTCAGGAAAATCCTTTTCCGGAATTATTTACTCTTTCAGAACCTTCTAAAGAAAACACTACTGTAGAAAACACTACTGCACAGAATGTTTCTGAAGAGATTATTTCTCCAGGAAGCACTACTGTATCAGAACAAACTCCCCCTGAATTCACAAACCGTAGGAATCTTTCCACTACATATTCTACTACCACCAGAGACAACTTTGTTCAGACTGTTAAACAAACCAATGAAACACAATGGGAATACCACAACTTGGTCCCTGACTTGCCCCCAAAGCCCACAGGCTTCAGTGTTGCAAAGCTCTCATCCGCAGGTGATCTATTTGAAATTCAGCTAAACCAGCAGCTACGGTCCCTCATCCCGAATAATGACGTGAGAAGGCTCATTTCTCATGTTATCCGGACTTTGAAAATGGACTGCTCTGAGACCAATGTGCAACTGGCCTGTGCCAAGCTTATCTCCAGAACAGGCCTCCTGATGAAGCTTCTCAGCGAGCAGCAGGAAGTAAAGGTGTCCAAGGCAGAGTGGGATACAGACCAATGGAAGACAGAGAACTATATCAATGAGAGCACAGAAGCCCAGAGTGAACAGAAAGGGCAGGAGTCAAGTGAGGTGAGGATAACTCCTGAACCATGGGGTCTGAACTTTTAGTCAGTTTAGGACATGCAATTAAAGCACCCACGCACAAGGACCAGGGCCTCCCAGTCTGGGTCTTGTCTTAGCCATTAATGTTGGCTGAGACAGTGATCTGCCACTTTGCTCCTTTAGAGAATGGTGCCACTATTCCCAGGTAGATGAGAAGAGGACTTAACATACAAGATAAATATATTATCGAAGAAAGGGCTAATGATAAAATTATATAACACATTAGATTTGGTATATTTCTTTTTTTAAGATTTCTTTTTTTAAATTTTTATTTATTTACGATAGTCACACACAGAGAGAGAGGCAGAGACACAGGCAGAGGGAGAAGCAGGCTCCATGCACCTGGAGCCCGATGTGGGATTCGATCCCGGGTCTCCAGGATCACGCCCTGGGCCAAAGGCAGGCGCCAAACCACTGCGCCACCCAGGGATCCCAGATTTGGTATATTTCTTAAGAACCTATAAGCCACTTCTCTGAAAGAATGAAGTTTTAGAGTAGCTTAAGAATAGTTAGCTTTCATCCTGTTTCTTTGATTTCGAAAAAATTGTTGTTTTTTGTTTTTGTTTTTTTGGTTTTTTTTAGCTCACAAAAGAAGTTCCAGGTTATGGCTATAACAACAAACTCATCTTGGCAATATCTGTGACTGTAGTAGTAATGATTTTGATTATAGTTTTCTGTCTCATTGAGGTAAGAACAACCATTAATTCAGATTTCCAGAAAATCTTTTGTCTTTATAATAGATTCAGAATTTACAAACTTAAAATCAAAGCCACTTTCACACTTACTACTACTTGGTATTCCTCTTTTGTCTGACAGACTGACATGTACCTCGTTCTTTTATTGCAAAGTATATTCTGGGGATTTTTATTTTATTTTATTTTTTTAAAGAGAAGCAATTCTTTTTTTTAAGATTTTATTTATTCATGAGAGACACAGAGGCACAGGCAGAGGGAGAAGCAGGCTCCATGCAAGGAGCCTGATGTGGGACTTGATCCTGGGTTCCCAGGATCACACCCTGGGCTACAGGCAGTGCTAAACCGCTACGCCACTGGGGCTGCCCTATTCTGGGGATTTTTAAAGGAACTTTCCATTGCCAGGAGATTTATGGATACGGCAACAAGCCATTAGACTGTTTTGGGACATTAGGTTTAAGAAGGCCAAGTTAACATGAGAGTAACATTTCTTCAACTCAAAATTCTATTGGTTAGATGTACTCACCAGTCACTTTCAGACTACCACTGATTTCTTTCCTTGGTTGAAATGATGAGAGATAGTATCCACCCTCATGGAGCTATATCAGGCATCCAGGAAAAAAGGACATGGCTTAAAGATAAAAAAATATCCTCTTGTTGATTAATTAGATTTACTCAGCAGCTTTTTCCACACACTGAATTATGTGAATAGTTTTGGTTAAAATACTGTAGCTAAAATCCTGCATCAGGCTACTCCAAAGCATGTCATGTTTATAGTCACCTGTTCCTGGAGGTTGCCTGTTTACCTTTTCTTCAATTCCATAATGACTTCACACTGGTTTATGCCAAGCATAGGAAGAAGAATATTCCATATCCAATTTCATGCCCACAACCCTGGGAGGACAATATTACCATCCCTCTTTCATACATAAAAGGGGATCAGCTTAAGGCTCCAGTGGCAAAACCCAAAGCAGAACCCAGTTTTACTTAACTGCAAATCCTGTGCTCTTATTCCACTGTTCTGTCTCCTTAAAGATGAAAACACTGGCCAGCATTTGAAACACTGAAATTCAGTGAAAGCCACTGAAAGGATTAATATATTTAATATGAAAAGAGTTTTATCAGTCACCAGAAGATGACCAACAATCCAAGGGTGAAAGGGGTGAGACTACAAGAAATGGGAGATGTTTTGAGTCTGTCACCGTATATGCAAGTTCTTTCCTTGTGGCCTATGGGATGTGGGTCTTGTTAGCGAGGCCTTTGTTGCCTTTATACTGTCTTCTTCTATACTTATAGTTGTTATAATTTATATTTTTCAACCTGTATAGAATCTGTTTTGTTTTTAGGCATGGTTGAGGTAGGGGATCTAACATTTTCCCCCTACAGAAAGATCCAGTTACTTTAAAATCTTTTATTGAATGGTTCATTCTTTCTTAACAGATCTAAAATACTATTCTTTTTTTTTTGTAAGATTTTATTTATTCATGAGACACACACGCACAGAGACAGAGACACAGGCAGAGAGAAAAGCAGGCTCGTCTCAGGGAGCCCAGTGTGGGACTTGATCCCCAGACCCGGCTTCACCCTGTGAGTCAAAGGCAGATGCTCTACCACTCAGTCACCCAGGCGTCTCTAAAATACTTTTCTTATCTGGACTCTTATCAGTCCAGTTTCCTTTCCCATATCACACTATATACTTAATTCCAAATGCTTTATAATAACCTATTTTGATGTCTGTTAGAGTTAAGCTCATGCTCTTTGATCTCCTTTTTCATACATTTCATAGCTAGACTTGCATATCCCTTTACCAAATGTCAGCTGGCCAGTTTTTATTTTAAAAAAAAGAAAAACTATCTTGGGATTTGAATAGGATTGCTTTGAGTTTGAGGAATAATTGACATCTTTGCAATATTCTAGGAACATGGTATCATCATGTATTCATTTCTTAAAGTCCTTCAGAAGAGTTTTAATGTTTTCATCTCAAAGGTCTTCCCCATTCTTTGCTGTAAGTTTATTCCTAGGTACTTTATGTCTTTTATTGATATTTTTAAATCTTTTTAAGATTTTATTTATTTATTCATGAGACACACACACAGAGGGGCAGAGACACAGGCAGAGGGAGAAGCAGGCTCCATGCAGGGAGCCCGATGTTGGAGTCGATCCCGGGATCCAGGAACACACCCTGGGCTGAAGGCAGGTGCTAAACCATTGAGCCACCGAGGTGTCCTTCCTTTTATTGATATTATAAATCGAACCATTCTTCCATTTGTTAATTAGTTATTTGTGGAACGGAAGAAAGCTATTGCATTTTGCATGTTGAGCTCTTGATTTTTTATTTAGCCACCTTACTGAATTCTCATAGCACTTACAGTAAAATGTATTTTTCTATTTTTTAAAGATTTTATTTATTCATGAGAGACACAGAGAGAGAAGCAGAGACACAGGCAGAGGAAGAAGCAGGGCCCATTCAGGGACCCTGATGTGGGATTTGATCCCAGGACCCTGGGATCATGACCTGAGCCAGAGGCAGGCGCTCAACTGCTGAGATACCCAGGCATCCCACTACAGTAAAATTTAAGTTGACTCTCTTGGGCCTTTTAGGTTGTCCATAATTTCATATGCAAATATGTTTTGTTGCTTCCTTTCCAATACTTAATTTTTCCTATTGCATTGAGATGCCTGGAATCTTTAAAAGAAGTTTTTTCCTATTTCATTGATTAGGACCTCTTCAACGTGATGAATAGTAACAGGAATAATAGGCATTCTACTCTTGTCCTTGACTTTAAAACAATGTTGCTATTTACATTTCTGGTAGATACTTTTCTTTTCTTACTTCTAAGAAGTTTTATTAGGAATTACCTGTTAGATGTCATCTAAGACAGTTAATAAAATGTATTGCCAGCTGCACACAAGATCCCAAGTTGGGACTATGGAAGAGTCAAAGGACTACTAAACAAATAGAATTCCTGCCCTCAAAAAAGGTTGAATAAGACTTAAAACGGAATGACTACAGATTTGGAGGCATGGTCATTGAGATGGGTACCTGTGATATGTTTTCTTCCAAAACAGATTTATTCTCATAGAGCAGCACCAGTGGAAGACGAAGAAGGAGGCTCAAGGTAAACTGGCAAATATTAAAGCAGAATTTCAGAACTAGATTTTAGAACTCCTATTTCACTCCCCTTGTTTTACACCCAGGAAACTACCAAAGGCAGAAAGAATATTGATTTGGTCTAATGCTTTGCCTGGATCCAGCCAAATTAGCTTCCCAGACAAATCTGAGTTAGAATGGAAGTAACGCAGAGCATCTACTGTCACTACTCCTTTAAAGAAAAAGGGTGGAGAGGGGTTGGATGCACCTGTTCCTGCTGGTAGTGACCATCAGGCCTGGCTACAGAGTCTTGGGCTAAGAGGGCTAGTCTTCAAGGCTGATGGAAGGCAGAAAAATAGGACTCCTCCCTGTAAAGTGGCAGGAAAACTTCCCTCCTCCTCCTAGTTTTTGATCCACCACTCTCCATTCCCTTTGTCCAGACTCCACAGACTGTTAACTGGGAGAGGCCTTAGGTAATAGTTTGTCTCTTCCCTTTATAATAAGGAAATGGAGAAGAAAGGGAAGGTAAATTGCCCCATGGGCATACTGCTACTGAGTGTCAGAAGATGGTTCCTTTCCAGAGGGGCACTTCTCCTCTGATTATACTGTTCTTGGGCTGCGAGCTACATTTTATGTCACAACTCAGTACATACATACTGCCAAGACATAAGCAGGTTTTTAAAAATATTTTTAATTTATTCATGAGAGACGCAGAGAGAGAAGCAGAGAGATAGAGGGATAAGCAGGCTCCTCTCATGGAGCCTAATGTGGAGTTGATCCCCAGACCAGGACCACACACGCCCTGAGCCAAAGGCATTAATTACTCAACTGCTGAGCCACCTGGGCGTGCCAACATGAGCAGTTTCTAAGACAAACTTACTATACACTCTGATTTTTCTATATTGTTTGTATTCAAAAATAATAATTTCTGTTTTAGTGCTGGCTGTGATCTTTTCACCCACTCATTAGCCACAGCCTGCAGTGAGAAAGTCAGTGAGTTAGGTAACTTTGTTGGTTGGACTCGTGCAATTATTTGGTGTGAATGAACTGTAGGATAAAGCAGCTAGGAAAATAGAAACACCCCTCTCTCTTCCTCCCCAGCAAATGATGCCTATGAGACAAAGCCCAAAGGGGACCAAAGTAAACTGCTTCTGGAGAGAGTAAGGTGCTTCTGTGTTATACTTGCACAGTTTGTTCACTGCACGAGGGCACTCGGCCAAGGGCCCAGGTGAGCAGGATGAAAATCTTGCTTATACTCAATGCCAAGCCACATACAAAGGCCTCCCCAGAGAAATTGTGGGGCCATTATGGACAGACATGGGAAAATTCTGGAAGTCTAGCATGCATGGGATTATTTTCAGGATCCCGGGTCTGTAGTGATTTTGCTTCCTGTGATTATGGACTGAGATGTCCTAATAGGACCAGAGATACACATTGTGAGAGGCATGGGAAATGGCGTGAATCACTAATTGTCTGCATATGTGTTTCCTCCAAGGCTCTTCTTTCATTCTCTGCTGCATAAGAGATGTTCAATCCAACGTGTGAGTCAGGTAAATCTGAGGAAGATAAAGTCCCATGGCTGGAGAGAGCAGGGGAAATGCAGAATTAACAATGTCCTTTCTGTTTTCTAGGAGGGCTTTTTCTGGAGAAGGCGGCCACTTTGGCTTCGGGACATGTACAGACCTCTCAATGCCACACGGAAGAAAAACATGGCACAGAAGCTACACGACAGGGATTCTTCTGATGAGGATGAGATTTTCAACAAGGAACCAGGGTACCTGATTGGGGACAATTTATACTTCTTTTCTAAAATGAGTTAATTATGAAAAGTTTAATTGTTCCTTTACAGAGTTAAAGGCATTCTTCTTCTTATCTGCAGAGAGAAAGGTGATGCCCCAGCAGAGAAGCCTCAGGCTGCACATTCAGCTGCTGAAGACCTGGGTGAGGAGAGCGACAGTGAACTCCGCACTGTCATCGTCCTCAAGTGACCTTGTCCTGCCTCAGGCTGTCTATAAAGTTTATTTTCTTTTTATTTTTATTAAAAATTTATTTTTTATTGGTGTTCAATTTGCCAACATATAGAATAACACCCAGTGTTCATCCCATCAAGTGCCCCCGTCAGTGCATGTCACCCAGTCACCCCCACACCCAGCCCACCTCGCATTCTACCACCCCTAGTTTGTTTCCCAGAGTTAGGAGTCTCTTATATTCTGTCTCCCTTTCTGATATTTCCCACTCATCTTTTTCTCCTTTCCCGTTTATTCCCTTTCATTATTTTTTTGTATTCCCCAAATGAATGAGACCATATAATGTTTGTCCTTCTCCGACTGACTTATTTCATTCAGCATAATACCCTCCAGTTCCATCCACGTCGAAGCAAATGGTGGGTATTTGTCGTTTCTAATGGCTGAGTAATATTCCATTGTATACATAAACCACATCTTCTTTATCCATTCATCTTTCAATGGACACCGAGGCTCCTTCCACACTTTGGCTATTGTGGACATTGATGCTAGAAACATCGGGGTGCAGGTGTCCTGGAGTTTCATTGCATATGTATCTTTGGGGTAAATCCCCAGCAGTGCAATTGCTGGGTCGTAGGGCAGATCTATTTTTAACTCTTTGAGGATCCTCCACACAGTTTTGCAGAGTGGCTGCACTAGTTCACACTCCCACCATAAAGTTTATTTTCTGATATTGGCTTCTCAGCATTGCTTGTAAAATACTTACTTTTCTCATATTAAAAATGTGTAAATTAATAACCAATTCTAGCCATGTGGTAAGGAATTAAAATGGAAATAAACATGTATATACAGGTAACAGGGGACATTGGTGAGAGGAACAGGCCTGAAGCTAGAATCCCTCGTGGGAGACTGTACTTCCACAAGAGGCAGTGCCCGCAAGGAAGGATGAATAGGGGTATCTTCCCCTCATTTCCCCAATAAAATCAGTGTCTGAAAACTGGAAAACATATCTCCCGGTGTACAGACTATTAAATCAATTGGCAGTTTATTCTGGTGCTCTCTCCCCTGGTTCACCAAATACAAGTTATTCACAACATGCTTGACCTGCCCATAGAAGATCATCTGTTTCTGGCCCCTCTTGTAAGATTTTTAGCATTACCAGAATATTTGGATCACTGAACCTAGCTCCACAGTAGGGCTAAGGCCTCTTTTTCTTCCCAAGCGCTCAAGCTCATGCACAAAATATATGCCCTGTCTTGGCATAGGGGGTTCTTCATTCTTACAAGCTATAGATAATTCACATTGGGGTATTTTGTTCCTTTTCTTTTAAAAAAATAATAATCCCAACCCTTGGATAGCTAGCAGGGAGGAGCTGGAGGGCTAGGGTAAGGAAAAATGTGTGAGGGTGGTAATTACCCAAGACTGCCCTCATCAGTCCTTTATTTCAGAAAACATATTGGTGGTGCCACTTACCCATTCTCATGGACCACCCCACTAGCCTCTCCTGACTCCACTGAGGGTCAGATGTGTGCTACCAGGCTCTCTCCCAATGCCACCCACTACCAAACCTACTACTGCCTTCCTCAACCAACACAGATAATGAAGCACAGGGATAATGAAGCACAATCTGTGGAAGAAGCAAAACTCCCTCCACTTCTGGGATGCCAGGGTGTCTCAGATGGTTAAGCATCCATCCCTTGGTATCAGCTCCAGTCATGATGTCTTACAAGGAATGGATGCTCACCACTGTGGGGCTAGCAGTGGTGAATGTCAGGTTACTTTACCACAGGGGCTTTCCATACATTCAAAGCTGCTGCTGCCACTCAAAAGTCAGTACACTTCGGGAACCCACTGCTGAACTCACTGCAGCCCTCCATGGTCCCAAGCCTGTGACTGGCAACATGGAGTCCCAATATGTAGCCTGCACATCTGCTACTGCAGAGGAGGAAATAATGGTTTCCACCTCCTTTTCACCCCCTAGATTTCACACAGGTACATTTTATTGGCAGAACTCTGCTGTCAAGGGAATCTGTGAAATGTGGTTTGTGGGCTTCTAGCACCTGCAGAGAAAGGGATAGAAGTGGGTAGCAAGAGCCAACCAATACTATCTAACAAATGGGTGGGTGTTAAAGTCTTTCTAAAAGGAAGGTGTTGTCTACATGGAGTAGTAACATGGTGGAGAGTTAGCTAAGTCAGAAACATAAACATAAAAGGTGTCATTCTAGCTGGGCAGTAGGTTAGGGACCAGATACTGGATACCAATCACATGCAGCATCCCCAGAGGTGACTGGAGAAGCACTTGGAGTTGATTCTTAGGTTGGCCTCCAGAATGTTCTTACCAGAATGAAAGCTGGATGGACTAATGGCAGTGAGGTATCTGAGAAAACATAGCCCCCATTCAAAAGGGCTGCCAGAGGAAACGGTGCCCATAGGGAAACAGAGTTTCTAAAAATGTGGCCTTGTGGGGATCCCTGGGTGGCTCAGTGGTTGAGCGCCTGCCTTTGGCCCAGGGCGTGATCCTGGAGTCCTGGGATCGAGTCCCACATCGGGCTTCCTGCATGAAGCCTGCTTCTCCCTCTGCCTGTGCTCTGCCTCTCTCTCTCACACACATGAATAAATAAAATCTTTTTTTAAAAAAATGTGGCCTTTGGACCTCTAAACTCAAACATCCTTGGGATGCTTATTTAAAAGGCTGATCTTCGGATCCCTGGGTGGTGCTGCAGTTTAGCACCTGCCTTTGGCCCAGGGCACGATCCTGGAGACCCGGGATCGAATCCCACGTCGGGCTCCCGATGCATGGAGCCTGCTTCTCTCTCTGCCTATGTCTCTGCCTCTCTCTCTCTCTCTCTCTCTCTCTCTCTGTGTGTGTGTGTGTGTGTGACTATCATAAATAAATAAAAATTTAAAAAATAATAAAAGGCTGATCCTGAAAAATAAGCAAATTAATTTTAAAAGCTGATCCTGAACATCTCCCCTGTCAAAAACAAACCAAACCAGGCACTACATAAAGTGGTCCAGACAGATTTCCATAGTAATAGAATATTGCAGTGGCACAGGGAAAAGGGTTCATCGTCAACGGAACTCAACTGGATAAGTACAGAGGTGACTGAGTATTGCACAGGGAGATTGAGGGACTAGGGAAGGGAATGAGTAGGGGCTCCATAGTCAGAAGCGAAAGATTACAAAAGGCAGGAAGGGGTTAGCCCATATGAAACTATCTGGATTTGCTAACTGGCCCTTACCAAAGCTAGACTCCTACTCTCTCACAGAAGCTGGGAAACAGGGGCCCTATCTTCAGGTGGTGGCTGGAATAAGCAGCAAATTCTTTAGACAGCCTGGAGTTTCACGGGCAGGCACTTTAAGGGAGACTGGGGTCTTACTAGGGCAGTGGTCATGAGCTGCTGAAAACTACGTTAGTGTTTGTTCAAGTCTTCACAGGCCAAATAAGGTTGAATCAAGAAGAGGGCTCAGAGGAGCCTGGCTAGAGTTTAGAGAAAGAATCTGTTACCATCCAGATGCCCACCCCTCCTGAGCTGATCTCCAAAACAGAGGGACCATTCTAACAAGACTCACCAAACTCACCAAACTACTGACGTAGTTAGTGCAAAGAGAACCAGGAAGTGGAGCAGAGGTTCCCTGGCTTCTTCAGGACCAGAGGTCAGCAGGGATTTGAGGGTGTGAGAGGCAGGGCAAGACAGACTGAAGATGACCAAAAGGCACGACTGAGATTCTCACCCTTGGCGTCTCAAAGGGTCACAGTAGTGGCTGGCTACTGCCACTATGGAAATCAGGGCCTCGCAGTCCTGGGAAGCGCCAGGCATGACCAGCTCTGGCTCCTGAGGTCCTAGTCAGGGTGAGATGCTGTTCAGACCTGGGCAACAGTGGTGGGGCACCCCCTGGGGGTGTGGGAGGAGGCACACCCATTCAAGAAGAGGAAAGGTCCTGAGGTCTGAAGCAGAAGCAGGAATGGTGCTTCAAGGTGAGCCTTAATGTGGTCCAGTGTAGCACTGGAGAGGGGTGTTTGAAACACTGTGGAGTGTTTCAGCTTACAGGGCCAAGGGAAATGAAGACTTCAACCTGTGAACAATACAAAGGCTTCATGTAGAGAGGGCTACACCCTACAATGGTGGAGCAGTAAAATAGGAGGAGCCTGGCTCCCTGACACATGAACCACCAAACTAGCCCTGGATTACAGTACTTAACCAGATCATTATATGAGAGATCAGTAAGCTTCTTTTTTATTTAACCCACTGCTGTGTTGGGTCTCTACTACAGTGGCTGAACCTATAGCCTAATAAAGGAGTACGTGTATTGGTTATCTTTCGCCACAACAATGCTAACTAATAAACCATCCCCAAACTCAGTGAACTGGAATACTGGTTCTCACAGGATGGCTGGTCCAGCTGTACTTGAATGCTCTGCTGGCTGGGTCAGCACTGCTTCTCCGTGCTAGTCTGCAGATCAGCAGGGCTAGCTAGCTTTTTTCCACCTGGGTGGGCTCTGGGGCCCAGGCTGAAGAGGCAGTGGCAACCCGAGGAAAGCATATGATGCCAACCAGAAACTTCATTGGGCCTCTCCAAGCCTAGACACAGAACTGTCATACTTTCATTTCTGCCTAGTCCATGGGTCCAAGTAAGTCACATGGCCAATCCCCGAGCCAGGGGACAGGAAAGTACACTCTGCCCACAGAGAGACACAGCAAGAGTGTGGGTGCAGGGAGGGCCAATAATCCTGTCTATCTCAGGATGTGACCAAGTCCTGGTTTAGAGACTACACACCAAGGCCCCGCTCTTCTAGGTGTCCCCTGTAAATGCAACAGAGTGAAAGATAGCACCATCACCTTCACCATCAATGTGAAGGCCCCACCGCAGTTATCTGTTAGGTCAGGAACCCTGACGAGGCAAGAATCCCATCTTCCTCTCCCCAATGCCTAGTACTGGACCCTGCCCACTTGATGCCTCAGGGATCTTACTGGATGAATTTTAGACCATTTCTTCATTCTCCACATATGATTTCCTTATGAA